CTGTGCCATCCCTGCTCCCCATGACTATAAGGACGTACAGTGAAGTTCACAAGCTACAGTGTAGGTGCCCTATTATATTTGATTTACAATTTATAAAACAAATTGTAGCAGCACTTACATGGTGGTTCTCAGCCAGTTTGGTTCGCACCTTCCATGCACCCCTCCCTCTTCTACAACATTACCCTTTTTAAGTGAGAAAGGGAATCCATCTGTTTTTCTTCAACACCCATCCCTCAAAACTAACCTACCTCAGTGAAAGCCCTCATCTGGTTAAGAACTGCATTCACATCATCCATAACCTGATGATGAACATATTAAATGTACTTAATGTCAGACCTCTGCTAACAGGAAAATCCTGCAGGCAGACATATCCCATAAACAGACACATGGCAATCATACCAGCCACATACAGTAAATTATATTATTAAATATTAATTAATATATTTAACACTATTTTAACTGCTCCTAAGCAGACACCATGTACCTCTACTAAGAAGACACTTTTTGGGTCCTAAGGGTGTCCACTAAAGTAAATAATAATAATGAGGTTTGACAGTATTATAAATTTGTTTAAATGTATAAATTTGTTTTACTTTGTTGTTTTTTGTCAAATTAAGTTAAGACTGGTTGTGCAGCTTTTACCAAGGGAAATGCGGGGGCTGACTGCTGATCTGAGGAAATATCTCTTAACTTGAAATCTCAATTGAGACAGATTTCTGACAAACATCTGTATTTTGATGAAAGTAATTGCAGTTATTGTGTACTAGTTTTGAACACTTTTGAGACTTTAAATCTACAACTGTCAAATACTTTCAAGGTGAAATACCTAGATACATGAACAAAGTGCACACAGGGCATATTTAAAGCTAATTTTAATTTGCATTGATCATCAGCCTGATAAATAAATCTAATGATATACAAATCCAGAATCCAGGAAAGTTATAGTACCTATAACCATCCAAGCAAGGGTAAAAAGAAATTACGAGGACTGGGGGTGGGGCTTTTGATCAAGAGTGAACATTTTTAAAGGAAAGAATGAAGCTTAACTGTATTTTAAAGACGGGTGGGGTGGAGATGCAAAGCAAAGATTAAGGGCATATCAACGAGGCTACAAAACTTACATTTTTTCCATCCACATTTATTGGTGTATTAGAACGGTTTCTAAGAGCGATATGGAGAACTGCTCGGTTCTGGAACAAAAAATACATGTCTAGTTACCGGAGCTTTCATCAGACTATGTTAATTTTTAACCAACTGCCCAGTGATAAATATTTATCTATTTTAAGCAGTTAAACACAGTGCAAAACTTATTTCCTATAAAACACACCTCAGTAAAATTAATCTTCTCTCCAGAAAACATCTTCTGCCAAGCGCTTTCAATTCCCCTGGCTTTGGCCTGTTTAATAGTAAAGAGAAAATGGCAGCAGCTAGTATGGTTATAAGTCTGCATACGAGCCAAGTGGCCCATCAGGCAAGAGGTTCTTTTGGTTTCTGTGACATGAAGTGACTAGGAATATTTCTACTCCCCCCTAGATGGGATGCTAGTCCATCGCAGGGTTATACCTCCCCCAGCATTTACCTCGCCAGTACCCATAATGTAATACACCTGGGTGGAGAGACTTTCAAAGTCTCTGGCACTTTGAATAAAATTGCCTTGCCCAAAAACACAAAACAATGTCTCTGGCCAGGGCTTGAACCCAGACCACTCGATCCACAGACAAGTGCACTAACCATGAGGTCACTGCATCTCCCAGCTAGTATGGGAATGGATTATGTTTCAAATGGGAAAAGCCAAGAAAAGAACTAACACACAGTATAGCAATGTGCAAAAGAAATATTTTTCACCTCTGGTGTTTCTCTACCTTAAAAACTATTATTGAACATCTCTAATTTATGTTTTCATCAAAAATAAAAACTATATAACTGCAGATTATAAAATTCTGTTAGAAAGGGTATACATGTTATGATCTCAAAGCCCTGCCTGTTAGTGGAGGCAGGGTGGCTGCTGGTTAGTGCGCTAGTCTCTGGATCGAGCAGTCAGGGTTCAAGTCCTGGCTGGGGACATTGTGTTGTGTACTTGGCAAGACTCTTTACTCTCACAGTACCTCTCTCCGACCAGGTGAATAAATGGGTACCGGCGAATTTAATGCAGGGGGTAACCCTGCGATGGACTAGCATCCCATCCAGGGGAGAGTAGAAATATTCCTAGTCGCTTCATGGTACAGAAACCGGGATAAGCTGCAGTCTGATGGGCCACTTGGCTTGCAGGCAGACTTAACCCACTGTTTAAGACCAGACATTATTATTATTATTATTATTATTACACATACCAGATTCATAAGGTGCTTCATGGTCTCCTCTGTAATGATATTTTTGGAATAGTCAACTAAGAGAACACCATCTTGAGTATCAAGCTGTACACTTATGGAGAAAAGAAGGTTGTTAAAATACACCATTCTTGCATGCGTACATACATGTATCTTTAAGCTACACGTAGGTTTATTCTTTTTTATGCAATTTGTTATAAATTTCATATAATTTATATGATAAAAGAATTACATTATTAGAGTTAAATTTGATCAGCAGTAAGTTCAGAAAATAAACTTAAAAAAAAAGACACTGTCCCAAATTATGCATTTCATTAGTATTTAACACGTTGAGAATGTGCAAGATGATGATATTCTTGAAACCTCTACAGTCAAGTCTGGAATTGATCAGCATGAAAGTAAAATTATTATTAATTAATGGTGCTGTTGTGTTGATCAATAGACCAGCTTTAAATCCCTTTCTTGCCTGATGTGTGCACCCCCACCGCTTTCCAACCACTCCCCGCATTACAGCTTTCCCCTGCCTTCAACCCAGAGGGTCCACAATAGGGTTCTCAATTCCCACTTTCCCACCCATTTTTTCCTGTTAATCCTGCCATCCCACCCTTTTTTGCCTTGAAATCCCAATCCTGCCCACTTTTTAAAGACGTTTCTGCGTTAAT